CCTTAATCCAAACCGTGTATCAAATTCAAATCCAAATTCAAATTTAAATTCAAAGCCAACCCCACACGCCCAAGTAAACGTGGGTGTTCAGGGATATATCCGGATGCCGGCGGCCGTACCCGTATACTCGCATGCGCAGACTCATTGGCAACGAGCTCCTGTCCAGCCACGAATGCCATTCCCAAGGCAAGCCGCAGTACATCCACACACAGGTCTCACAGCACAGACAGACATACGTCCACAGCAAACAGGCGTACGCCCACACCCAGGCATACCATTGCAACCGGGAGTCCGTCCGCTAGGTTTCCCGCATCTGAGTCAGCACCCACCGCCACGACCACATGAACCGTATATGCACGCACAGGCCCAGCTGCACTACAACGCACACATGCGCGCGATGCAGCAGCACCCGTTGATGCGAGGCCCCCACCCACACCCGGGGGTTGGTATGGGTCACATGCCCATCATGCCGGTGCAGTATGGCATGCAGCGAGCGCCGCTTTGCGCTCAAGGTGTGGCGGGTATAGCCCAGAAAGCAGGGAGGAGTACGAACGGGATGCCCCTGGCCACGGCCATTAGTCCTACAGAGACTGGTGGGGTCAAGGATAACCGCGCGAATAACGGTAGCAGCGGCAATACGAAAGGGGGAGGGAAGCGCAAAGCGGAGAAAACACCCACGTCTAAAGGTGCGAAGGGCCCGAAGGCTAAGAAGCGCAATCGTATACGGAGTGATACGGGCCAGGGGGGTGTACTGGTCACCAGTACGAGAAGTGGGCGCACGACCAAACACCTCAAGTCGGCCTATACGTGTGATTTGGAGAGCTCGGATAGCTTTGACAGCGACTATGGGGATATGTACGAGTACGTACCTGCCGGGACACGCAAGACACCCACGGCACAGAAGAAGAGGGCACGCACGCCCACCTCCACACAGAAGCCCACACACCAGTCACCCGCACCCGCACAAGCGATGGCAAAAGCCCAGGCAGCCGTACAGGGCAGCTCAATAGACCACGCCTCCTCCTCCCCAGACCATCCTACGAAAGCCAATACGAACGCAAGTGTGCAGCGTGTTACTGGCAGGGCAAGGGGTCGTGTGGTGTCGAGGGAAGGCAGTTTGCAACCGGGCGAGTTCTGCAAGGCGTGCGAGCAGAGCCACGACGATGATCAGATACTGCTGTGTGACGGGGGGTATGGCTGCAACAACGGCTATCACATGTATTGTCTGCGGCCTCCGTTGGACAGGGTGCCGTCGGGTATCTGGATCTGCCCGGAATGTTTGGAGCTGGTATGTTGGTTTGAATACCTTGTCAAGGACGTGTTCAGTCTCGAGACGATACCTAGGGTTATGTATGTGGGGGTTGTCTGGGTTTTTTGGAGTTGGTGTGTTGTATGGATAAGTTTGGGCAGTGAATAGATATCACACGTATCGTGTACGATCACCGCTGGACAGGGTGCCTTCGGGTGTCTGGGTCGTTTCAGAATGTTTGAGGTTTCCATGTTATGCTTATAGATTTTTGGTCACTACAATATGCTGTGTCTTGAGAAGATGCCTCGATTTATGTAGTTTTGGTATGTCTCTATAGATTTTGTGTCAATAATAAGTACCGCATGTTCTGTCGGCTGCTGTTATTCATTGCAATGTATACGTAAAAGCATCTGGATGTGCCCGTAAAAGTATTTACGATAATAATCTATTAAAATGTGGTACCAAATATATCAGATTCATCATCCACTCTCTATCCGGTCATCAATTGTCTTGGCATATGCCTTTGTCTCCAAACTAAACTGTTTGTGCCTAGAATGATGCCTACTACATGTTTATGTCGACCTCCAACAAGAAAATCGTAACGTCGTATGATCGAGTGTGCTCGGAATGTCTCAAAGAAGTTTCTGCCCAAAGCTTGTGATACCTACAAAACATATGTGGCCACTGGTCAGTTCTGAGATTTGACCTGCGGATGTTTACGTCAACCCGAGATGTCTAGCCTTTTGCTACCTGTTCATTATAAACCTTAAAATAATATACTCTGTATTTTTTAACCTTCTTTCTCCTCCAAGCAGCTATATACGGGTATCTGGATATGCCCCGCATGTCTAGAAATTAAGTTTGTTTTGTTTTACTATTTACTACATGGTGTCGTGTGTGAATATACAACGGCTATTCGGTCGTGTCCGATAATTCGAGATTTGTACCTTGTTCCTTGCAAGCCTTGTACATACAACTGTGTTTCTCATGCTCTTACCTACGGGAATGCGGGAAGTGTGTCCGGAGTGTCTACAATTGGTAAATGTTCTGACAACCCCGGTAGTGACTACTACCCGTTGTGTTCAGTCTTCGTTCTTGTTCTCTTGAAACAGTTCTATTTTTTTTTGTTTCTCTGCGGGTGGTTCCACAAGTAGCAAATAACTCGCCAACACACTCGTACAATAATCTCTCGCAATACAACCCAGGTGGTTCCACATGTAACAAGTATCTTACCACCACACTCGTACAATAATCTCTCGCAACACAACCCAGGTGGTTCCACAAGTAACAAGTATCTCACCAACACACTCGTCCAATAATCTCTCGCAATACAACCCACAGCGCTGCAAACAGGCAGAGCTGGATAAAGACTACTCGTTCGGGAGCGGCAAAACACGTCGGATAAAGGAGTTCCAAATATTCGCCGACAGTTTCGCAGCCAAGGTGATGGGCACGGACAGTCCCTCCATCGCTGAGGTATAGCAACAGCCTGCAACTATTCCTTGTTTCATAGAGGAGTGTTTTCGGATGCCGATGGAAATGTGTCTGTATATATTGATGATCTTGGTTATCGTGGTCTGTGGTATAGTAGTTAATGTGTCTGTATATATTAATGATCTTGATAAGTGTGGTCAGTGGTATAGTAGTTAATGTGTCTGTATATATTAATGATCTTGATTAGTGTGGTCTGTGGTATAGTAGTCAATGTGTTTGTATATATTAATGATCTTGATTAGTGTGGTCTGTGGTATAGTAGTCAATGTGTTTGTATATATCAATGATATTGGTTAGTGTGGTCTGTGGTATAGTAGTCAATGTGTTTGTATATTATTAATGATCTTGATTAGTGTTGTCTGTGGTATAGTAGTCAATGTGTCTGTATACATTAATGACCATGATTAGTGTGGTCTGTGGTATAGTAGTCAATGTGTCTGTATACATTAATGATCATGATTAGTGTGGTCTGTGGCATAGTAGTTAATGTGTCTGTATATATGAATGATTTTTGTTAGTGTGGTCTGGGTATAGTAGTCAATGTGTCTGACTCGTTAAACAAGTGCTTCAGACTCGGGGATACTCTGTTCTACACCGTTTCTAGGGCAATGGTTTCACATGGGAAAGTACTGACCTTTGTGAGTTTCTATACCCTATCGATAGGTCGAGAAGCAGTTTTGGGGTTTGCTGAACAATCCCTTCCACGAGATGGCTGTGGAGTATGGCGCTGATCTTCACTCCAAAACACTGGGCAGTGGCTTCCCATGCTACTCTCACCGTATGTACAACACCAGAAATCAAATTATATATATTTA